GGTGCATCACTCGGTCTTCTACGCACATGACCAAACCATCGTAGGCGCGACTCCCACATCTTGTCTTCAATAGGTGCTACTCCTACCCTTTGTCTGATTGTCTCATTTCTCATGTGGTCCTTCCTAGTAATGCCCACACATCCAACGTAGCATGCCCATCTCCGCCACACTCATCTTTTGAATGTGACATTGTTTCACCGTCCAACACTCTACGCCATACAATAATGCAGGCCTAATTGTTGTCTTATATAAAATTTATCCTTCAGTCTAGTCGGCATACCTCTATCACATAGAAATCCTGACGCACTCTTCCACTTCATCCACCCTGTTCTAATTCTATGGGATACATCTCCATCTAACTCACTGTCCTTCTGAATTATGGAGCCCAAGTAACGGAACATATCGCTGACCGGTATCTCCTTACCATCTAGAGTAATTTCGCTATTACCACTGCTTCTACATCGTATCCACCAAACTTGCACTCCATGTATTAGCCTGAAACCCTTGTTCTCCAATGTTTCTCGCCATACTTCCAACTTTGCTTTAAGACATGATTGTGTCTCATCAATCAATACAATATCGTCAGCAAACATCATGCACCACGGTATTTCGTCTTGAATTGACTTCGTAAGTTCATCCATGACTATGGCAAATAAGAAAGGGCTTAGAGCCGATCCTTGGTACACTCCGATAGTAATAGGGAACTCTGCAGTCCTCCCTACACTAGTATGGACTCTTGTAGTACAATCCTCATACATATCCATGATGATGATGCTGAGACACTTATTTTGATACGACCAAAAAAGAAAGTGAGAGATTTATTGTGATACGGAGAGAGCAAAATAGTTATGAAATAGGTTGTTTGATATGAAATTATGAATGAATATTAATTCTATTTTTTTTAAATGTTAACCCGTGTTGATTTAAAATATTGTTTGATTGAAAACTGAATAAAAAACAAGGTGGAGTGGTTAGTCCAAAACTCAAGCGGCATTTCACAATTTCCTACATTTTCCTACATTTTCTTACATGCTACATTTTTAATTGATTTAAACTACTCATGTCCATCCTGATAAGTGGTAATTAATACATTGCACATTTTTCTACATGTTAAATAAAATTTATAAATAATTGATCGAATTAAAAATATATTTTACTTAAAATTTGTGCACTTTGTATTTTGTTGAGAGGAATTAGCTGTCGACTCCCTAAGGTTTTAGGGTTCGGGTATGCCGCCGCGAGAATTGGTGGGCTTTGATTGAAATTCCGAGTTTCTTCTCGGCTTTGTGGGTGTGCTTGTTCGTTTTCGGCAGGGAGGGCAGGTGTTGTCTTCTTTGTCTCTCAGTTTTGCTTTCTTGTTTCGTTGACAGGCTTCGCAGGAGGGTGACAGTTTAGTAGTTCGACTTTTGTTTGGGTCGTGTTTTTCCTTCTTCCGTGCTATACGAAGGTTAACAGAAGAGGAAGAATGGAGATTCTCACAGAAAAGGCCAAGGACATGGTCCTAGGAGTTAGGGAGGATGAGATCATTTTTGACGAAGAATTTACTCAAGAAGGGGAGACTGCGGCTGAGGAAGAATCTTTTCTGGTGGTAGGCACTGTGGTCACGGTGAGATTGGTGAAATTTCCGGCCTTTAGAGATCTCATGGCTAAATCTCATGGCCTGCGATAACAGGTACATGTTCACTTTCTACCATATTCTTGATATGAAATGTGTGATACAAGGTGGTTCGTGGACTTTCGAGCAGAATCTATTAATTCTTAGGGAGCTTAAGCCAGGGGATGTTCCCCTTAGGATTCCTCCGAATGAAGCTGAATTTTGGGTCCTGGTGCACGGTGTTTCGTATGATTTAATTTTATGAATTTGGATGCGGCCCAAAGAATTGGGAACTTTCTGGGTACTTTTGTTAATTTTGATACAAGTCAGTTTGATAAGAAATGGAGGCCTTATATGAGAGTTCGGGCTTGTCTAGATGTGTGGAAACCTTTAAAGGTGGGTACGACTCTCCGAAAGGACAAGGAGAGGGATATTGGGTTGATTTTAAATACGAAAAACTGCCTAGTTTCTGCTTTGTTTGTGGTATTATTGGGCATGCTGACAAGTATTGTCTATTAGCTTATGAGAGCACCAGGCTGGAGGTTCCAAAGAAATATGGATCTCATATGCGAGCAGGTGGAGGGGGGGCTTATCAGTCCTTTGGGGGGAAACAAATGGCTAGTCCTAGAAGGTCAAGACTGGAAGAGTGAGGGAATTGCGGGACCAAGCAGGAGGGAGGGGACACTTTCTCTGGTTGAGAGCTGAAAGGGATGGGTGGATTCAGATAGCAATGCACTTGAGGAGGGGGCAAAGCGCAGGCGAACCTGGGAAGCGGCAGCTGGTAAGGGGATGAAGGGGAGCGGATGGCCTTGGATGACCAAAAAACGGGGAGGAGGCGGGTTCGGGTTTCGAAACCCGCCAAGATGTCTGAAGAATTTTGCTGCTTTGGGAAAACTCTTGAGCTCGTGTGAGCTTTTAAGGATCAAGTTTACTTTCCACGGTTTTACTGTCATTGTGTTTTTATTTTTTTGCTTCGCACTGTTTTGTTTTGGTTGTCATTGTTTTGTTCTGTCAGACTCTTACATTAGGTGGGGGTGATGGGGGTTCTGTTCTGGCCACGATAGGCTCATCTAGATCCGTTATAGGATTAGCGAATCACATTACTCTGTCCAGGGTGATTGGTTCTCAGGCTGGTCCCAGGGTCGGTGGCTGGAAGTGTTACCTTTGTCTTTTTAGTCCCTTGCTGAATGTTATTCTATCAATATAAGCCGTCTTTTTCCAAAAAAAAAATGATCGAATTTTGTTTTCTTGCGATTACTGTATTTTTAATATCCTTAGAGCATCTCCAATAGTAAAATGTGGACGGTGCACACGTGGCATGAGAAATAGCCACATAAATATTAGTAAATAAATTCTTTCTCTCCTTATTTGAATGATTTTATACAATTTTGGTAAGTTTTTCTCTACAATGTCAAGGAGACCGTCTAGATGTTGACATTACTGATGACATTGCAGGGAAAAACTTACCAAAATTGTATAAAATCATTCAAATAAGGAGAGAGATAATTTATTTGCTAATATTTATGTGGCTATCACTCATGCCACATGTGCACCGTGGACATTATGGCATTGGAGATGCTCTTACTTTTTAATATTTTCTACAATTTCTACTACCATTTCATCTTATTTCTCTACTTTTTCCATTTTTCTACTCGAACCATTATCCTTCAATTTTAAGATACCTTAGGTATGCTACAGCCTACTGCCTATTGGCTTTTACAAGGCACGTTTGAGGTACTCTCTTTTGATACCTAGATTTCATTTACACTATAGTAAAACTAAGTACTTCACGTTTGCACCAAAATTCCTTGGTGTGAATTGTTATGTTTTTGCCCTTTTTTAGTTCATTTCAATCTATTGCATGCACTAAAAATGCTCTATTTACGTTAAAAATGCTAAATCACAGAGTTCATGCTTAATATTTGTGACACTCATATCTTGTTGTAGGTTCTCCCGTTTCAAGCGTAATATATCTCGTTAAGATCAAGTTGGGTTTTAACCATATTTCGATACTTAACAATTCACACTTGTAGGTTGATTTGTTCTTCCGTAACATTGTTCGGAAAGGCGCGTAGCTTGATTTCTTCTTCTGTAACATTGTTCGGTTTCATACTGGTGCAAACTCTATGAAACTCCGAAAGATGTTTGTTCGGATCCTCGCTTCGTAGACCATGGAATGAAGGAAATAGATGAATGAGCCATGATTTTAACTCAAATGTAGCACCTTCATTAAGAGTATGGAAATATGTGTTTTTCTCACGTTCTCACGTTAAACATTTTTCTCATTTGATTCTCATTAGCATCTTTGCTTTATTTAGTTTCCTTTTCAATTCATGTTTTTTTTGTTTTTCTTCTTTCTTTGCATTGTACTTTTTCTATTATCATCAAAATTACTTTTTCGCAAAAAAAAAAAGAGAAACAAAACAACACACACACACATAGGAGAGAGTTCTAGTGAGAACTCCTCTTAAGATGAGAATCTTTTTTTAAAATGAGAACTTCTAATCTCCATGATTCAATTATGCAATCAATGGCTAATAATGACAAGGTGACATTTTTGTAATTATTCAGGATTAATTGCAAAAAGGCCCCATTTGGATTTAGGATAATTATGAATGTGACCCCATGTGAATCATAACCAATGATTGCAATAAATGAAAGGTAGAGATTAAAAGTTCTTACTTTAAAGAATTCTCATTTTAAGAGGGGTATATATATATATGGGAGAGTTCAAATACAAAAATATCTTCTCATGCAAAGTAAAAATAAATCTTGTGCATTAATTTCCACATCTAATGCCTCAAAATGAGCTAAAAATGTACTAAGTTTGATAAAAATAAAGCGGTGACAATTTCGTAAGGATTTTGCTTGGGGTACACAAAATGTGTACACATGTCTGTCCTTCGGATAAAATTTGTCTGTCACAGACAATTCATTATGAGTTGTCTGTGACAGACAAATTTTCTCCGAAGGACAGACATGTGTACACATTTTGTGTACACATTCTGTGTACCAAGAGCATTTTCCATTTCGTAAATAAGCTGAAGTTTTATGCATCCCGAAAAAGTGCAACAGAAACATGCAATAGTGTAACGCGGTGAGGGAAAAGTGCAATCGTTTGCACTTTGCACGGGAGCACATCTTTTTATTTGATCTCTCCTTTGTATACATATATTGCACAAAAAATTTAGAAAAAGAATTTATAGAGACTAAAATGTCACATCAGTCCCATTGGACTTTGCCAACTCTTTCTTTTTAGTTGTTCCAAAAAACTTTGCCACTTTTTGATTAAAGCAACTAATTTGTACGTGGTTCTATGCATTTCTCTCTTCTCTGTACAAACTTCGTTCACACAACTTTTACTTTTCTTATTTCTCACCTGCTTGGAACTTGGCAAAGTCTACCAGGACGGAGTAATATCATGCAAAATTCATGGAAAAGAGACAACATTGCTTTGCATTTGCTTTTAAAATGCTCGATATCAAAACACATGATACACTTTATTATATATGTGACTGAAATAATGTGTAAATATATTAGTTTATTTTAAAGATAAAGACATTTACAGATTTACTGAAATCCAATTCATGCAAAATATAAGACAGGAGGAATCTGGCTTATTTATTCTGATTAGAAGCCAAATGGTAACACCAAAGGAGCTTGGCTGAAGTGATCAAAGTTTCCCAAGTACAACAACAAAAGTAATTGGTCTGATCTCTTGCTTAGCCATTTCAAGATCCATCAATCTCCCATACTCCTCAAACAAAGGCTCCAGTATTGCTTCCCCAAAGTGGTGAGTCAACATTGATTCTTGAACTGCCCTAACTGCCATAGCAACTCTCCTTCCATGGCTCATCTTCCCAACATCCTCTACTTCCTTGTCTGTTTCAAACATTTCTAGCTTCTCCAGTGCAAATGAACCTTCCCTCTTCACAGCATCCTCTACCTCTTCCTTTGACGGGGCATAGAAATGAACATCATAAGAGTCCACTTTCTCCTCCTCAACTTCTCCCTGTGGTCAAACAAGTTAATTAATTCATCTTATCAAGATATCTTCCTTGTTAATGAGGAATGTTTCTAATAAGCATGTGAAACCCAACAATATACTAAGTTCATGTTTGACACACCTAAGTGCAAATATACTCTGTATTTTTTGAACTTTAATTTTTAGGGAAAATAATAAAAATACCACAAACTTTTAGGGGGTGTGAGGACAAGAAAATATTTTTAGGGAAAATATAAAAATACCCCCCTCGACGCCCCTGAATCCTGATCATTAAATTTTGAACAAGAAAAAGTCTTTGTAACTTTTTAAAACGAATTGTCTATAACAAGGATAAAATCTAATTAAACAAATGTTTGTGAAACAAATAATTTCTTTTTATCGGTATCACAACTAATTCATCTTTAAAAGGATGAAGGTTGTATGCAACGCAGATAAAAATGGAGCATATCCATGAAGCACCTTTGTTTGAACAATGCATGAAAGGAAAGAGTTGGAGAATAATTTAGTACAGTAAGTTTTTTTTTCAAATATCCACAATTTCTTTAGAATTGTTCCCCTAATGCCTCATTGGCCTAGTTAGTTATATATGATACAAGAATTAAACGAGATTCCGTACATATATGTTTTATTCGCTAATGGGTACTAAAGGAATGGTCAAATTTTCATTGAAAAAATTTGAGTTTTTAAAACATGCATATATACATGTATAATGCTGTATTTAAAAAAATCGTACCAAAATACTGGGTTTCTTTACCACTTAAATTATGTACATCACAATTACAACAACATATAGTAATAAAGAGAAATCAAATTTTATGCATATTCAAATAGTAAATCTCATTTCTACATAAAAGAATAATTCATAAAATCATAACTTCATGACAAAAAAAGAAGAAATAGGAGTAGTAATTAAGTCTAAGACATAATTATACAAAAATAATATCAAGAAAAAAACGATAGAAGAAGACCAATATATATAACATCATCACCTTCATCACATAATACTCAACATATTCATCAAGACAGGTGGCGTACAAGATAGGTGCGCGATTGCAATAGTTATTATTGTTTATGTTTAGAAATTCATACTACAAAAAAGTTTGTTTCAGAAAACCCTTAATTTTGAGATCTCTGTTTGGAAAACGTTAGAAACCTAGAAGGAGATGCTTTTCCGGTTTTAAACAAACCAGCCCTAATTTTTGTTTTGAACATTTTTATATTTAGAAAAAAAAAACTATACATATTTAAAAGGTGTATAAGCTAACTACTTGAGTCCAATTTTGGTCACCCCTCCTTGGAGAGTGAACATCACACGTCCTCTCCACATTTGCCATTTGACATTACAATTCTTCTTTTTCTTAAAGTTATTATCACTTTTTTATATATAATTTAATTTTCACAAAAATATTTATCGCATTTAATAATTTTTAATGATCTTTTCAATGGTATCCATATTGCATATAAAAAAATTTGATTTTTTTATACACCCTTTTGAACCGGATTGTTTTTTTCAAATTATATATATGTAATTTTAGTATCACTTGAAAGATTATATATAAAAAGTTATAATATTGATCTATATTTTGAAATAATTGAACTAAAAATGAAAAAGTTATTACAATTACAAAATTTTATTGTATGCCATGCCATGCATGTGACAACATTGGAGGGTGGGGTAGTGTTCACCATCTTTTGAAGGGTGAACAAAATTGTTCTCTAAATACTTGGCTATCTCATTATCCATAAAAAAAACATAAGACCATGAATGGAAATTCCAACAACTATATGACGAGTGAGATACAGCTAATTGTAGGAGAATAATTTCCGATGGACAGTCTATGACGTTATCCATATATAGACTTGTCCAACACAGTCTAGCCTAGAATTTCTCTTTATGCATGAACTTCTGTTTATCGTACATAACCACTTGCATACCTCATCTGTTGATCCACTTCATTCTGTCCGTTTGAACCATAGCTTAGCGGTTCAGATTTCTCAAACAAATGATTTAATTAATGGAAACTAGCTTAGGACGTGATTTTTTTTTGTTTTGCTAACCGTGAGTTTTACTTTTTACATTTAAAATATCTTTTAATCAAATTGTGGCTTGCTTAGGATTGTATGTGGAGAAATACAATAGTAGTGGGACTAAAAGTCTAAAAATATTACTAAGTGGAGGGACTAAAAAGTGCATTTGACTAGGAAAGTGTATTTGATATAGAGCAAATACCCTAATCGCGATCGACTATACAGTTGAAATTTCTGAAGTTCTGGCTGAAGCAGTTGTAATAGTTGATTCGGTTGGGGAAAATTGTATACTTCTTCCGAGCCGTTCTTTTTTAAATGCAACATTGGACTCTTTCCACTATTCACATGTTCTACTATACTTTACTTTTTCTTATTATTACACAATTCAATGCATAAAATAAAGAATTACGTGTTTGGTGAAAAAATTAGTTAATAAGCCGAAAAACAAGATCATAAAACAAACTATCTCAACAAAAACTAATTAAAATGGTTTGAGATTACCTTGGATATTAAAGTGGAGAATGACCTGACAAGGAGTTCCCACAGGAAAGAATTCCCTCTATCAAGGTGAAGGTGGCTTTCTCTCCCAAGAAAAATCAACACCATTTTCCCTCCCACTATAAGCTCCGCTGACCGCAAACGAAGGAACAATGGGAAGTCCAAATTAAACTGGTCAACATAGGCTTGGGCCACCTCGGGGGGGCTCCCTTCAGATATGTATATGCTTCCTTTGTTTATTGACCTCCCCTCGGAATCATATAGCCCTGGTGGAACCTATACATGTACGGCCACCAGACATGCATCACTATTCTTAAATGATTGAAATAGTTAATGATTAGCTCCCAAGGAGTAAATCTAAAAAAGGGACGGTACCGTTAAAATTCGGGGTTCCATCTTAAAAGTTAATCTAACTAGAGAAGTAGTCCAAAGTCTTGTATAGTGTTTTATTGTTTTAAAGTTTTTTGACGTGGAACAAATACTTCAACACGTCCCTCAGCCCGAACAAGACTGAACAATATTAGGGTGTATAAATGGACCAAACAAGTTCTTAAAAAGCTACACTTAATAATGAGTGTCAACAAGCAGTCAAGTCACAATCATATATGATCCAGAGTTCCATTTTAAAAGATCAACCTAATATGAGGAGTTCAAAGTCTTATGTAGTGTTTTATTGTTTTACAGTTTATCAATGGGAACAAATACTTCAAAGACTACTCATGAGTGAGAATTCCATCTAATGTAGTCACTCCTTATACACCAGATTACTCCTTTCAGAAACTGTTTGTAATAATTCTATTATCTATGATCTACTACCTCCGTCCCATTTATATTGTCCCGGAAGAGGGTGACACGGCTATTAAGAAAAGTGGGTTTGTGTGGTTGATATTAATTGATAAAGTAAGAATAAAGTAAGAATGATTTAGAGCCACACAAACTTTGCCAAATATGGTATGGGACAATTTAAGTGGGACTTCCCGAAAAGATGAAACGGGACAATTTAAATGGGAGGAATGGAGTATCTACCATTTTATTGGGTCCCATTAATTGCTCGAGTTCTTGATATACACACTTTAATTGTTTACATGCTTTTAAACACGCCCGTGAAAACATTTTTGTGTGTGTAAATACCCTATTCACACACAAAACATTTTTGGTGAGCATTTCTCTTTTTGAATTGTGGTAAACACATGTCAAATCACACTATATAACCAAAACCTTTAGACCGTATCATAACTGTATGTGGGGCGGGAGAAAAGGAATTGATTAAGAAAGTTAAACAGATAAACCTTTGAAAGCCAGTGCAAGCTGTTGGAGGAATAAACAAAGTGCAAGCTATTTTCTGGGAAAAGTCTCCCGTAAAACGTGCCCGGGTAAGCCGCCACGTATATGGAAGGTCCTCCTCCTCCTCTTTCCTTTCTCAGCTGGTGATGAAACTCCGGCAAGGCCTGGAAAATGGCGTTGAAATCGTTGGTGGGGAGATCGTTGAGGTACACCCGGAACTCCGGCTCCGGGAGCCGGAGCGCCGAGCTCGTCCTCCCCACCGTTTCCACCATTTCTTTAACGTTGGACAGCGCGTTTTGTCCCGTGGAACATCCTAAGTCGGCAATGCCCAAGCTTGTGGGAGTTGTCGTTACATAAACTTCTTCGATGCTCTCTAGAGTCACGTGTTTCACCTTCTCCGATGCCTTCTTCTGTGACGTGTCAACCCAAATATTTAGTTAACATTTATTACCATATAATCATACTAGGAATACTACAAACAAACATGGAATTGATAGCGATTCCCCAAAATTCATAGAGGATTTAGTAGAGATATGTCAAATCTGTATCAAAATATTTTGCACGAGTTTTTTAATGCAAAATCACCAGTTAGTTCGTATCAAATCTGTGATAATCCCGTATTTTTTTGTAGTGGAATATATGTAGAAAACTTTTCTTATTCATCCAAACACACCAGAAATCGTCCGCCTCCAATTGAGATGTTTCGGGATGGAATTTTTTGATAATATTTTTTGAAAACGTTCTTCGTAAAATGTAGATAATGAAATAAATTATTGAAAAACATTGTACCAAAATATATATTTAAAACGCAATTTTTTTCGATGGTTAATTTAATTGACTTGATTTTGTGAATATAATGAAGATTTTATGAAAAACATGCTCGCAAATTTTATCCAAAAATTCCACCAGAACACTTCAAATAGAGACGGCCGGACAACACCTGTATGTATGACAAAAGTTCTCTACATACATACGGAGTATATTTATGTGTGTTTGATTTAAAATGAGAAATAGAATAACTGAAATAGAGAGGTAATATGTACTTGAAGGGAAGAGTTCTTGGAGTAGCTAGTTTGGCCGACTCCTCCATTCATGTGGAAAATTTTCTCGACGTCCATGGTGGTGGACTGGTGGTGCCGTCGACGGGAGGAAATGGAGGAGTGGAATTTTTAGGTTATTGCCGGTGAAGCTGGGCAGGATAATGTATATCGATCAGTTTCGATGAGGTTTTAATTCGTTTCCATATCGACGGGTAGAGATGATTTTATAGCCTTAACGGTCCATATAAAATTATTTAGATACTATATTTGTCTCAATATACATAATTTCTTACTATGGGCATATTTGACATTTAACGGTTAGCGGATTATGTTAGCGAGTTGTTAATAGCGGATTCAATCAGCGGGTTTGAGCAGCGGAATAAAATTCGCGGGTTTTCAGGAGATGTTTGGTAATTTAGGTGTTTGACCATAAAATTAATACAAAACGCCATTTTTCAAAACGCGGACCCAAAACTTTCCTATTTGCAGCGTTTCATTTCAGCGATTCCGTCCAAGAAAGCTAGTGCCGAACCGCTATTTACCAAACAATGTTTTCACTCATCGAAAACGCCAAAAGTGGTCAAATCGCCATTTTTTTGCTGGAACACCATTTACCAAACACCCCCTATGTATTTGACTCACTTTTGATTCTAATCTTTTAGGAAGTACGTAGTATTATCATTTGTATTTGTATATTATAAAATTTAAGACAAATGAGGTGTTTGGTAAACGACGTTCCACACGAAAAATGGCGGTTTGACCATTTTAACGTTTTCAAAAAGTGAAAAAGTTGTTTGGTAAATAGCTGTTCGGTATTAACGTTTTTGGACGGAAACACTGAAAGAAAACGCTACTAATAGGAGAGTTTTGGGTTGACGTTTTGAAAAATGGCGCTTTCTACTAATTTTATGGCCAAACAGCTAAATTGCAAAACAGCTTCTGACAACCCGTCAATTTATTCCACTAGTCAAACCCGCTGATTGAATCCGCTATTAACAACTCGCTAACATAACCTGTTATCCGCTAACCGCTATCCGCTGATCAAGCCTGCATCATAAAATGAAATTGGCTGAGTTTGTTGAAATTGGTGAAATTTCGGTGGACACGCTAAATATGCTGAATCGTAAACAAAATATTAAAAATATAGTTTTAATAAACAAAGTTATAGCAAAATGTATGTATGTGCATCGTTGCATGCGTGCATCCAATGAAACTGAATGAGTAAGATAGTTGGATGCAAAGGTGTTAAGACCCGGGGTTCCATCCTAAAAGGTCAACCTGATAGGAGGAGTAGCCCAAAGCCTTATATAGTGTTTAATTGTTTTATAGCTTTCCGGTGTGGGACAAATGCTTCAACACGCCCCCTCAGCCCGAACCGGGCTGGACAATATCGGGGTGTATAAACGGGCCAAACAAACCCTTAACAAGCTACCCTTAATCATGGGTGCTAAACAAGCCGTCAAACCACAACCAGAATTGGCTCTGATACCATGTTAAGACCCGGGGTTCCATCCTAAAAGGTCAACCTGATAGGAGGAGTAGCCCAAAGCCTTATATAGTGTTTAATTGTTTTATAGCTTTCCGGTGTGGGACAAATGCTTCAACAAAAGGTGAGATTATTCTAAGAAAACTGAATGAGTAAGATAGTTGGATGCAAAGGTGAGATTATTCTAAGATTACGTAAAGGTGGAATTATTATGAGAAAACCAATGAAAGGTGAGATTATGCTTATCAATTTTTCCTTCAAATTAAAAAATGAAAGTGAGAAGCACAAACTAGGATAGAATTGAGACCGTACTCCCTCCACCCCAAATTAATGGTCCTATACTTTTTGGATTCAAATATTACGAAAGACGGAAAGAGGGGTAAAAGGACTCATATAATCTTAATTACTTGATTGTAATGTTCACCACTTTACTTTTAGGAAAAATTGAAAATAATAATCCCAACTATTGCCGGTCCGCTGAAAATAATCCCAACTATTGATTATTTTTGTATAATCCCAACTATATAGACTATCCGCCAATAATGGTCCATGACCATATATTACCTCTATAAAAAGTGAATTTTAAATAGAAATTAAGCGTAAAAAATATAAGTTGAGATTATTTAGAGGGATTACTTGTTATATCTCACCCCATCCACTTTAGAAACTACAAGAATTTATTCATAGGGACCATTATTGGCGGAAGGTCCCTAAAGTTGGGATTATTCTGTAATAATCAATAGTTGGAATTATTATGAGCGGACCGCCAATAGTTGGGATTATTACTATCAATTTTTCCTTACTTTTATTGTTCATTCAAAATGAGGATCGGGTATAAATGGTGATCTACTCTAGTTTCTTATCAAAAAGGGAAAATATGACTATCATTTTGGGACACCCCAAATAGGAAATATAGGACCATCTTTTTATCAACCTTCTAATGGTCGTTTAACTTCAAAATCCATGGAGTTGTTTGTACTATGCACACACGCGTAAAACAAAATGTTGTTATTATCTTAATATTTTGGAGAATCTTCTAAATAATAGGTCGAGGTAACGGCCAATTCAAGAGACAAACTCAATCTAGCTCACACAAATACAAAAATATCGACACAAATCCAAGCAATTAAGCAAAAGGGTAAATTTAGCCCCATAACTGAAGCTATGTCATGTTTTTTCTCGTATTTACTAAATCCTTTTAGTTTTAAATTTTTCTTCATTTAAACACTCTCATTCAGTCTAACTTTTGAGGGACCAAATAAAATCTTCCCAAACCGATCATCCACTCCGTATTATTCATGCTACTATGTGATTAGAATGGACAAATCTATGTCACTCTCGACTATTTTAATCAATTAATGCAGATTCAAACTCTGTTTTCATTAATTTAAAGCTACATTTTATATTTTATTTTGAAGATAGTCAAATCCTCAATATATATGGCTAGGACCGCTAGGTACTTAATTATTTTGAAAATTACTGCAATGTAATAAGTAAAACGTAGGGTTGCTTTTCAAAGGTGGGTAAGTGGGATTGTTAAAAAAAGGTGGGTAAGTGGGTAGCTAGAGGAGTAGTTTTGTATATTTCAAGTGATACCATTATTGGGTACGGCAGAGGACATTTAGAAAGAAAAAAAAGGATGACACCCCATCCCCGAGGGCCCCCAACACCGACCGGACGACACGATGAGAGAATGTAAATTGGACATAATCACAATCCGACAGATAGAGAGTGATGCTCTGTCCCCGTTACTTGCAGAAGCCCTATGCATTTTTTAGCATAGTAACCTCTCATCGCAGTTGCCGGGATTCGAACCCGAGACCTAACCTTTGTGGCACTTCCTCGCTGCCAGTTGAGCTACGCCCACCGGTAGCAGAGGACATTTAGAGCATCTACCGCAGTTGTCTAATTGCTCTCATAGATTGACTAGCAACATAAACATTAGTAACAAAATTTAAATATACTCCAATGATTAGTTATAACTTTTTCTTCTTCATTTATTATTTATAATACTATATTTAATACTTATCTTTGCTCAAAGCTATACTAGTAGCTTATTTAGGCTAATTAACTTTCTCAATCAAAAAGAAGAGCAATGCTCCAATGGTAGGCTAGTAGCTTCAAAATTGCAAGCAAGTCCTTAAAAGCAACCATTGGAGATGCTCTTAGAACAACTAGTTGGATGAAGAGCATCAATTTAGTTTGGTCTTACAAAAAAAATTGTGTAATTAAATCAATATGAAGAGTTTGAAAATTACTTATATTACACAAATAACTGATGTAAGAATGCTTTTACTTGGACTGAAATTTTTTGGCCTGATCTATTCTGATCTGATCTGGTCTAATCTGAATTGGTTTGGTCTGATGTAAAACAGTCAAGTAAAAACATGCTAAGTACACATTCATTTGCACGCTCATATATGCTTTTTACATAAATGTAAGGTCTGATTGCACAATGTTCGTGAATATATATTACTCCATAATTACAGTGCACAAATATTAGTTATTATCTTGATAATAAGAAATGTCTGCATTTGTACGTTTTTGTTTACGTCAACTATTACTATATTGTTTAAATTTCAATCGACATTTATTGTATGGCCTTAATTTTACAAACACTTTGATACACCCAGGGGTGGGTTCGGTTTAAACGGTTCGGTTTTCACCTAAAACCAGTGGCGTATCCAGAAACTTTGGCGAGTGGAGGCAAACTTGACTACAATTTAGTCTCATATTTCACAAATAACAAATCACATTATTAATATTGTTTGATTAAATTTAGTTTATAATATCTATGTACAAGTATGAAAAAAAAGAAGATTAATTTATATTACGGGTGTGTAAAGATGTAATTGCAAATAAAATGTAATAAATTTACCTAAATATAAGTTAAACGGTCTTAAAACATAACATAATTTAGTGAATTTTTTAGCCTTTCATTCTTTTAATATTAAAGAAAACACTTCTAATCCTATTTTAGAATTTTTTTTCTACATTTAACTCTTAATTTGAGTAATTTCTTGTAAAAATTTGGACATATATATAGGGGTTGGGTTGGGGTTGAGTGGGGGCAGCTGCCCCCGCTGCCCCCATAGTAGATACGCCACTGTCTAAAACCAAATGATAAATCAAAGTAAAAAGTTCAGTTCATTTCGGTTTTATGTTAAAAAATTTGGAACCACAGTTTGTTCGGTTAGGATTATTTCGGTTCGGTTTCGGTTTTTTCGGTTTTTACCAAAACAATTTTGTTGATTAGAAAATTAGTAATTGGAAAACAAAAACTAAAAACTAAACTAGATCATACTATTATAAATAGTAATACAATACACAAACATACATAATTAAAAAAGAGAGAACAAACAAATGCACTTCAAAGCAATGAATTAGAGAGTATGTGTATACCAATTAAACATTTTCTAAATTAATTAAACACATGAGTTTATTTGTGAATTATATACAGTGTATTCACAAGTTAAAATTTTTAGTAAATAACTTATTCTACTTTCTTTTTGGACAAAGATATTTATGCTCTAAAGCTTCACATTTTCTCCTATATATGTTGTTTAAATTATAGTTTCTATTAATAGATATTTTTTAAATATAAAAAATTATGTGATAATAAACATACATAATATATAATATATCAACAAAATATCATTGTCATGCAACAACAAGTAAAAGGTAAATTACGATTTAAAATATCAACTTATTAGTATCATAGCAATAGACTTAAGTGTATGTACA